GGGCTGGCAGAATATGAGCGTCAGCAAGAATTTCTTCACCTTCATCTTCACTGTTCAGTAGAAGCATTCCAGCTCCCCCTGCCTTCTTCACTTTCTCTCCAACTCCAGTTCGCGAATATATTCCTCCCTCACAAACCACAATCTTTCCTTTTACAAGCTTCTTGACCAGTGAACCTTCAAAGCAGTACGCAGCTCCTTGGCTACCTGCAGTTCTGTTATACACAAGTGGCAATTGTTTAGTTTTCTTACCAGAATATAGAGATGACCCTTCAAAAATTTGTCCATCCCCAAGTTTCACTGCTGTTGGAAAGCTTCTGTCATTGTAGCTAGCTGCAACAGTCATAATCCAAGGTGCGGCATTACTAAGACTTGACCTAGAAGGGCCTGAGTTACCGGCTGCGCAGGACACAAAAACTCCATGTTGGATTGCCCCAAATGAAGCTATAGCAATATTGTCTCTGTAATAAGGATTAGAACGCCCTCCCAATGAGAGTGACAAAATGTCTACCCCATCTGCAACAGCACTGTCAATAGCAGCCATTACATCAGAGTTAGTGCATCCCGATGTCCAGCAGGCCTTATAGGCTGCAATTCTTGCAGTATACTTCATTCCACTGGCTAAGCCCTTGGCCAAGCCAAATAAGCTGGCTTGATTCACAAAGTTACCAGCTGCAATGGAAGCAGTATGAGTTCCATGCCCATTCGAGTCACGAGGGGATCGATAATCCACTGTTTCATTGACTCTGCCAACAATGGCCTCATACCCTTGGACAAAAACTCTTGCACCAATAAGCTTTTTGTTGCAATTTGAAATTGAGAACCTTGTGCCTTCTTCACAAGTGCCTTTCCAGCGGGCGGGTACCGGGGACATACCTGAGTCCTGGAAGCTTACATGTTCTGGCCAGATTCCCGTGTCAACAAGGCCAACAATTACATCCGAGGCCAAGTTGGAAGCGCTCCAAAGTCCCTTGCCATTTTGTAAGCCAAGGAACTGAGGAGTGTGTGTGGTATGGAGACTTAGCAGCTCATCAGGTGTGGCAAAGAGGAAACCATCAACTTGGTTCAAGGATTTGAGTTGACTGGTTGACAGCTTTGCTGCAAAACCTGAAATAGCAGTTTCATATATGTAAAGGAGCTGAGGAGTTGGTGTTTTGTTTTCTTCTTCTTCTTCTTGAGATGAGAGTTTGGTGATGGAATCAATCACTGCTTGGTAGTATTGTTGATGATCTGAGTCTGTGATTTTGGTCTTGTCCATGTGGATTATGTATGTCTGTTCTTCCATTAAAGCAATTTTAGTTGTAGCCGTGAAGACAAAGAAGAACAAGAATGTTCTAAAGATGATCATGGTAGCTGTCAAAGACAAAAAGGATATGTCAACAAATAATAAGGAAGTAAAGCAAAGAACAACACTTAAAACATGTCAACTAATGAGTCACCATTAATAATACATGAGAAATTCAACTCTTGGTGCTCTAATTGAAAACAGGACTCATACAAAAAACTCAAGTTATAACTTAGATAGATGAGGCTAGCTAGAGGGATTAGTTTGAAGTAACAATTACTTGTGATGAAGATATACAGGTGATGAGAAAGTTGAAAAGCTATTTGAGACTCCAAAATAAGGAAAGAAAACAGAAAGATAAATGAAAAGAACAGTTCCCATTCGCAGCAAGCCTAAACGTTTAATGCTCGATGTCTTTGACATTTTGATCTAAGCAAAAATTAGAAGAAAAATTCCAACTTTTACTCAGTTAATGTGGCTTGAAAATGTGATCCCTCTAACATTTACTCGAGTGATACAAGGAGAGACTCAGATAGAGTCAAAGAGATGTTCAGATAGATACCTCTACTTGCTTCAACAAAGAGAAGGAGAAAGAAAGTCTCTGTGTAATGAAGATTTCCAACATAAAAACAAAGAGGTTCTTTATATAGGAAAGAAAAAGAATAAGCGTGACTTCAAGTCGACAATTTGAGCTCTTCCCACTTATTATAGCATAGTAGCCTACCATACAACAAGAAGCGTGCCCACTTTCTCTTTCCTCCAAAGTGCACGCCTTCAATTGCACCAAAACTAGACAGATGGCTGAACAAATGGGTTCTGGAATATATTACTTCTCCATATAATCACTTTAAGTCGATTTTATGTGATTTCTCCTCAAAATCACTTAAAATCACTTTAAATGATTATATGGAGAAGCACCTCCCATGTGCTTCTCCCCAAAAGTGATTTTGGTCTATCCAAAATCACTCCCAAACGAGCCCTAAGTTAGCCTTTTAAAAAAAAAATCAGAAAATCATAAGAAATACAAGACCATTGCATGAAACAAGTGACTATCAACTTGCTATAGAAGTTTGATTGGGAGATTTTATATTAGAACTACGCTGGGACTTCAACTTGCTTCCGCTTCTTCACTTCAAAAAACATATATGTTTGATTTAGCATAACCAAATAAAATAGAGAAACAAATATCATACTAAAATGCAGGAGAAATATCTACCAAAAGGAAGTGGCTTGCAGCCTTGCATTATGGTCCCTTGAAAAAAATGAGATGTCTGTTGGTTGTGGGTATGACATCATTGGCATGGGTGGTGCATTTACTAGTCCTTCTTCTTAATGGAATTGGTGCATGCTGGTAAATTGATTTTAAATCCACCTTTGGGAAAATTAATCTAGAAAATGTGAGACCACAAAAATGACCAACTGATGGTTCCTTGAGCACTCAGCAGCGCTTGGCCTTATCACCAAAGTCTTCCTTTGAGTCCAATTCAAGGTACCGACTACATGAAATGAAATGAAAGTTGATTAAAATTGAATGCACTTAACACACATGACATTACATGTACCGACATCATCTCTCAAGGGTTTGCTACGTTTTGGTTCCTTCGGTTCTGATCAATTTTCAAGAAATTAGTTGTACGAGTACGAGTTACATGAACAAATGTGAGAATGCAAATATAGTTTCAATTTCTAATTGTATTTCTTTTTTCTTTACATTCAATACATTGGAGAGAGCATGTGAGAATGCAAATATAGTTCACTCTTGTTCATTGTTCATGGACTTAGTCCTTCATTGATTTCCTATACTAGGTACCTTCAAGTTCAAGTAACATCCTCATGGACTGTGAATGACAATGGGGCTCCTCACCGTGTAACGGGAGCTTTTCCATCCGAGGGAGCCAGATATCATTCGCATACTAGGCATTGGGTTCGCCTTTACCACAACTTGGAAGGTCCTCTTTTCCAAAGTGGTAGAGAAAGACAAGCTCATGGGCTTAACAATGATTTCAACTCCTTTTGGTGCTCTGATGGTGGCATTGTAGGTGGATTTAGCAGGACCCACATTGGTGACAGTTCTTCTGAAAACACCTACTGTTGGTTGTTTGCTGCTTTTCAAGCTGAGCTGCATGGTGGGATAGTTGAGAGCATCATAGCCTTGTCCAGGCAGCAATGAGGAACAGTTTACGGACTTTGAGCCCACTAAAGGGGCTAATGAGGACCCTTTATAGCCTTCATGGCAGAGGAACTGAATGTAGGACAATGTCCCATCCATGTCATAGACTAAGCCTGGGTTTACAGCTTTATTTGGGTTCACTTGGCCAACACCATAGGAAAATTCTGCATCGCTGTTCACCCTCTGGCTCATTGGTTTCGCTTGACAAAGATTTCAACATTATAATCAGTGTAAAACCATGACGAAAGTGAGCAGCATGAACGAATTCGAGTACTATGAGTAAGGGCATGTTCAGAAATCCTTCTTTACATATTCGCTAAAATCTCACATGCTCTACCTCTATGTAAGGTGCTTTCTTAGGAAGCGCTTTCATAACATTGTTCACTAAAATCTCACATGCTCCTTACATATTCACCTGAACCGCTTCCTAAGAAAGCATCTATCATGTGCTTCTCCAGAAAGCCCTTAAGGTGTTTTGGCACCATCAAAAGCACTCCCGAACATAAGTCTTCCTAAGATGAACCGTCAAACGAATTTATTTCATACCTGTGGTCAAGATGGCAGATCGGATTGCAGCTGGTGACCAATGAGGGTGGAAGGACTTTACATATGCTGCTACTCCAGCAACATGGGGGCATGCCATGGAAGTTCCAGACATGATTGTAAATTCTGAATATTGTGTGTCACCTTCCGACCCAGTGAGTGACTTTCTTAGAGTGTAAGATGCCAAGATGTCAACCCCAGGTGCTGCAATATCAGGCTGCACCATATATATAGCATCACAAAGACGTTCAGTTTCTAGCGGATCTTAGTTATATGGATTATAAGAAAATCAATGATTAAGACTAGACCTTGAGGATTCGTTCTGATCCTGGATTCGGACCACGGGATGAGAACGAAGCGATAAACGGAGCACGTTTCTTTGCTTCGTGAGACTTGTATATCACTGCTGATGGTGATCTACATGACAAATTGCTTATTTACTTTTGTAGAAATATCAAATAAATTGGCAAAAACTAAGCTGCTTATTTTACCTTGTTGAATGTATATACTCATCTATGATTTCTCCAATTGTATCATTGACCATGGTTCCTGGTGCCATGAATATTTGAGCAGCATCAAGAAACTGATCATCTTCAATAATAGTGCCAACACCTCCAATTCCCTTAACAACAGAATCTGAACCCCAATTTTCCAGTTTGCAGAAAACAAGCTTTCCCTTTACCTTGTTAGGGTCTAATGAATCCTGAACACAGAACCTGGTATACATGGCCATCCAGAATTCTTATTTATTTATTTATTTATTTATTGGGTCAGATTAATTTAACTAGTTATTCTTGACAGCTGATGAACAAAGACAAAGTGATACCTTGCACTCTCCTTGGTTTGAGAGTTTCGTGCTACATCAACCCCACTAACAAGAGGGTATAAGTTTTTCTTTGGATTGAATGTGTTCACTCCAATCCCCTGCATATTTCATACAAACACAATTAAGCTTCACCATGCAACACATCCAGATTAAGTTTTACGGGTTTTTCGCAACATAAAAAAAGCCAAAAATTTAGATACCTACCAAAAATAGCATTTTTTTCATCATAAACCCAACAAGATCAACTAGTTAAGCTAGTAATTAATTTGTGGGCAAAATAACCATGGTAAAATTCAAAGTTTTACACCACTTATTAAGAAGAAATGCAAACTTACTGAGAGGTCCTTTCCATTTCCCAGATGAACTTTACTAATGAACTGCCTATCAATGCCACTCGCTGCCACAGTCACAAACCATGGTGCATGGTTAACAACACTTCCCAAACTTGGTCCATCATTTCCTGCTGAGGCCACAGTGATGATGCCCTTCTTCATGGCATGAAATGCACCTATTGCTATACTGTCCCGAACGTAATTTCCACCCCCTCCACCAATAGAAATTGATATAACATCGACACCGTCATGTATGGCAGCATCATATGCAGCTAGGATGTCCATGTCTGTGCAGCCGGAGCTAGACCAGCACACTTTGTACATGGCCACCCTAGCTGAGGGCACTGCACCTCTTGCAGTGCCCATGGCTAGGCCAAAGAGGCTGGCATTGGGAACTTGGTTGCCTGCTAAGGTTGATGAGGTATGAGTCCCATGACCATCCACATCTATAGGAGATAAGATGTCAGCTGGATCTGGATTTCCATCAAGCTTGAAGTAAGTGGCACCTATGATCTTGCTTTAAGTGACCAAATGGTAAAATACATATATGGGTTAGGCCATTTTCAAACTATATGGTACAATCATTGTGTCCCAAAATATTATTTGTGGAATCTTCTTTATTTAGCAAAAAGTTCTTCTTTTTTTTTTTTGAAAAAGAAAATACAGATACTCATAAAAAGTTTGAATCATTGAAATTTATGCAAATTATTATTCACTCATGCAATATGGCATTTAAAAAAGAAAAAGAATAGGTGTCAATATTGATGATCAAATGAAAAACAAATCATGAAAAACGGGGCCTTGTGCCTTAATGAGAGGATTCAAAACATTTTTAAAAAGGCGTTTTCAATTTAATTTTGAAAGGTAATATTCAAGAGAAAGGCCCTTATACATGGCAATAACTGAAAACAAATGCTCTCATTTTCTCTCTCTCCCTCTCATTTTTTTTTCTTGAAAAAAAAAGGAAGAAAACATTAGATTGACAATTATGTAGGAAACGTGTTTGTGGTGTGGTGTATCAAATAACTTTCTGAGAAAACCTGAAAAGGGTATTTGCCAAAAACTTATGTAATTAGGAATATTTTCTCAAATGATTTTGTTGTCTACAATCTGTTGAAAAAAGTTACTTGTTGCATCCTGAGAAATTAGCAAAGTGGCCACAAGTTCCTTTCCATTTTGCTGGTGGAGGACCAAAGCCATCGCCCTTAAAGCTTTTGGACTCAGGAGTAATTCCTAACAACATGAACAGACAGATTATATACACAACAAGACAACTCAATGTATATATAAGTTTTGTTAACATCAGTTAAAGTTTAAGAAATGGTAAGAAGGAAAGAAAAAAATTAAAACACTAATTTTTCAACCTGTATCAAAGAGACCAACAATTACGTCACGTTCAAGCTTTAAATTTCGTCTAGCTTTTAATGGTAACCCAATGAAGTCCCATGATTTTGTTGTGTGCAGCTTGTGATACCTATTCGGAAGCACGGACAGAACTTCGTCCATTCCTATACATTCACGACGCATAACATGTGAGATTGTTAATTTGAACTATTGATTAAGTATATTATTGTTTGAATGTTTGGTCCAAATTCAGTCATAGACATACCCAATAATCTTTCGGCTTCATCACTAGAAAGCTTAGCAGCAAATGCATTGAAGCTCTTTGTGTAGCTGTAAACCATGGACTCCTTAGCCTCAACATAGCTGCAAAACATGAACATGTCAAAGATCATATGTAAAAAAGAATGCCAATAT